ACACCAAAACAGACCATTAAGATTGCCATCACCTCGGACTACATATGATTGAGGTTAAATGATTCAATAACTGACGTTGAAGTCATTTTTTTTTTCTAGTTGGATGATAGGTACGATGTGACCATTCCTAATTGATTTTCTTTTTTGGGGATGTTCTTCTTATTAATTACATCGTATCTTTATTATTTTATTAAAATAATTATATAAATATCTCATCAAAATTTATAAATATTTTTAAAGGTCTCTTATTATATATATTGAAAACTAATTTAAAGTTTTTTTTTTAATTTTAAAATAAATCAAAATATTATTAACTTAAATATCGAAATGTTTATCTCAAAATTTAATCTTGAGTTTTGTAAGTTAATCAATTAAGTGGATCAAACTTGAAGAAGACTTGAAGATTTTCTTTAATTACATATATATTTTTAATCAAAAAATTAAAAAAGAAAAAAAAAAGGGGGCCATGAGAAGAGGAGTGCTTGTGCACATGGCAAACATGGTACTCCTGTTTCGTCAATACAATCAAGAGTCTTGAACCCGGAGAAAATCTGCTATATCTCATAATATTATGTCAGCGATATTTTTAATTAATCACAAATCATGTCAGTAAATTTTTTTTCCACCTTATTAGCTATGTTAGAAATTCTTTTCCACCTTAGCGGAATTCATTAATAGAGTGAAAATAATTATTAACATGATATATTTTGATTGATTAAAAATATTGTTAATATAATATTTTTAAAACACAACATATTTTCTTTTTAAACTTGACATGTTAAAGGTATTTTGTTATTTTTAATGCAGGTTAACATTTTTTATTTTTCTCTTTTGCTAGTTTGTACGATCAAAAACTTTTCTGATTTATGCAATTATTAATGAATAACTTAGCACCAAAGGAAAAAATTAAGAGAGAGAGAAAGAAAAAAGGTCGTAGACAACAGAATCTTTTGGACCGTAAAAAGAAATATAGCTTCTTCAGATAGGGTAACCTATGCATTGTCAAGTGATGTAACAGCAAAATTAACCCTATGAAGAATGCCATTCAGCGTGAGGTTTGGGCCTTGGTGCCCTCATCACTTGATTGGCACAAAATGATTGTTTTTTTTTATTTTTTAAAAAAGACAAACAACATTCTACACTAATCTAAATACTCAGCTTAATGCTAAATGTATGTAGTTTTCCTCTTAACCACATTCAAACAACTTGTTCTTCTAGTGAAGGATCACTCTTTCTTACCCGATTGTCATGAGCATTAACAATAGTTTACCTGTCCTCGTATACTGTCTCAGATTAACTTGGTTTGTATTACATTCACCTTCAGCATTGCTCGTGCCTATAACATTAAATTGAACCACCGGCCTAAGACAGGGAGATTGAACCATCCAGGTTTTTAATTCCACGGCAACAACCCTAGCAACCAACTTATATAATTGCTAGTGTAACAAGTTGGTAGAACTCTTTTTTATATAAATATATATATATATTTACAATTAACATATTTTCAAATCTATTTTTATATATATTTTAAAATTAATTTTTTCTTAAGTGATTTTAAAGATATATATCTTGCATTGATCTAATATATTTAAAAAAAATTATTTAATTTCTTTAGATATTAACTTTAAAACTCGAATTTTAAAATTGATTTATAAGACAATGTTTATTTATCAGTAAATTTAATTTTGGATTAATTAATAAATTCATTGTCTTCCATAAGGGAAATGTCAACAAATTTCTTAGGTTAACAAAACTGGGGAATTGGGTAGTATTGAACTGTTTTTATTCTATATTGCTCATGGAATTTGAAGGGGCATGTACTCAAACCTATAGCATCAGATTATCAAAGGTATTGCAAGAATTTTAGATGATGCAAAACCGTCTTGCATCCCAATGTTGACATTTTGAAGCTTAAGAACAATGAAGTAAATATGGAATTCAAGGTTTCA